ATAATTATCCATGTTTCTAACCGAAAATTATGGCATAGTATTGCCTCTTTCAGGAAGTGTTCCTCAAGTCCTGCCATATAATTGTTTTCCAAGATGGGTGCTAGGTAAGCTCCCATCGCAAGTCCTGTTTGTTCATATAACTTACCATTCAAGGTAAAATGGGTGCTATTCATGGATAGGTTAAGAAGTCTAGCTATGGACGCTATACTCAATTAAATTCCTTGTGTGATCTCTGGATGCTCCTCCAAAGTTGATTCTAGAACTTGAATAGTTCCTTGAATGGATATTTGTGTACATAGGCGCAACATCAAAACTTATTAGGCTATCTTCTTATTAATTTATTTGTTGATTAATCGATTTTACAAACTCATAAGAATTTGTACTTGAATATAGTCAAAATTGGCAGTTTTCCTTAGTTGTATGCATAAAAAATGTGAGATTTATGCGTCACGCTTCCTTTAGTATTTACAGTTAATCTTAGAGGGGCATCCTTCTTGTAAACCTTAGGGAGACCGTAAGCCATGGGGACCTTTGCATCTCTCTGTAGTAGTGAATTAATTTTTCATTTCATTTCACCATTACTACGCATATCTTAAGAGCATCCTCTAGCTTAGTCTTAAGTCTCTATAATTAAAGTCATATACGTGTTAGTACCATTTAAATGAGCTATTATTTTTTTTATGTAACTTGACTTACTCATGAATACCACTGCTCCACATTTGTCGGCTTTCATAGCGATTTTATTACTACCAGATAAATATATATAAACCCTGCTAAGAGCACAAGCTTTTTTTGGCGAGGTTATATGATCAAAATAAGGGATCACCTCCAATTTAATCCTATTATTTATCTTGGGCAATCTTTCAGATAAGCTAATTAATTCAGCCATTATGCCCAGATAATTGTTTGCCTTATCTGTAAAAACAAAATTAAATCCGGTTTCCAATCTAATTTCCACACTATCCTCTACAATCTTCCAAGTTTATTTAATCCGTGGTTTCTACTATTTACATTATTCACTAAATTTCGCGATCTTTCTTTAATTCCTAGATTCCGGAGTTTCTTTTCATGTTTCCGCCGGTTCATTCCCTCCTTAGCGAAGACTATTTAGTCAAAGATAGGCAAAAGGAGATCCTTTATAATGACCCGATTTTGTCATCATGCATTCTTTCCCAAAAGATCAGAGAACTAGTGATAAATTTGGAGACAAATCTGTCTTTAAAGAAACCCTCACGCTTATCTTCATTATTATATCTTTTAGCGAGAAATTTGACCCACTATCGAGATCAGCCATCCAAAAGAAGGCTACTCAACTTGTCTGCTCAGGGCTGGTTCTAACTTCACACACACGTCCTAAATGTCAGATTAAGCTTAACCATACCAGACGTACGAGATTACTCAGCCCCAGTTATACCTTTCCTTGGGTGGGTAAACGTTAATGACTTCAGACTGAGAGGTTAGAACAAGTGGCTTCGCAAATTAACTGGCATGCTTACAAGCTCACATCTCATTATTTCAACCATATTTGCTTACGGACTTACGCAGTCTCGGTCAGGGCTTTCTCTAGAGTTATTAAGTCTTCATCACCAGAGCCTGTAATTAGCCTTTTGATCATTCTGATTTTGCACCGGTACTCCTTAGAGCCTTTAACGCACACGCACACACACACACCAGCACAATTAGCATGTCTTGTTTGAAATATATTTAGCTAAATCACCCTATATCTTTCTCTCTGCCTATCCATTTTCGTTTTTACTTATTGGCATATTTAAGAGGTAAGATAGACTAGGAGAATCTTAATGACATAGTCTTAACGTGAGACCTACACGAATGTGTTCTTACTTTAATGATGTCCATCATATTTTGGGCGAAAGCTCACTCCGTTTTCACCCGAAGAGATAGAGGATGCCTTGTATACTGCGTCAACCTGAATGCCGTGGCGAATCCTAACGGCTGCAGTACAACGGGCTTCAGCCCTTGTCTTCTGGCAAGATCAGTTTGCGAAATGGACATCTAATTATCGCATAATATTTGTTGGCTGCTGAGGTGAAAATTTTGAATTCTTCTCCCCCTTGTCCATGAAGTTATTAGTAGACAAAATTTCCTAATTGAACCAGAGTTTTAATAGGTCAGAGGAGTGAGCTCATAGGCAGACCAAATATTTCCTCATAAATACCGCTATTGAACGTGATATAGGTTGTTCCTATTCTTATTTTGTTTAACCCGGTTAGAAACTGTACGGATTCTCTTCTTCTCTATGATATTATTTTCCTTTTCCAAGTTCTCCAGTATTGCTGTGAGTGGTTTTCTCCTCTGATGTTAGTGTACATGGACTACAGTCCATAATAATATCCATTCCCTCATCACAGCTCATCAAAAGTTCGTTTCCTTTCAAATTGGTACCTTTGATTCTTTGGCAAAATTCGTAGGAGTTATTCACTGTATTCGAAAATCTGTCATTCACTTTATTTAATTTGAGGCTGATAAATTTCGCTAATTTATGTGTTTTTCCATATTTGTTGTTGATTATCGGTCTAATGTTTCTCCACTATAATTAATTTTAGCTTCATAGCTTACTGTAAATTTGCCTGCGTTTACTTTTTATTTTGAGTTGCACTTAGATTTAACCTTCAAACTTTTGGTATATTGAATTAAGCTAGTGTTTGGTTAAGAGTGCATTTGAATAAGAAATACATTGCTACTATTCTCACAAGATCTCATATTGTGTTTTATTTCTCTTTGTTACTTTTTTTGTAGATTACTTCAATTTGTTAATAACGGAAACAACTTATGCTACAGTGGGAATACATTTGGTGAGTCCTTATCTTCGGGGAAAATGCCAATATGTTTCGATCGATTTGCTTTGGACCTTGCAGGCCTTATGGGCTTATAGGCCGTTTAGGCCTAAAACCTTCCATAGGCTTTTGAACCACTAAAACAGTTTTTAAAAATAAGAAATTAGCCCACCTTAAGTCGCTCGGGCTAATAAAATTAGTTATTATCAAAATGAAACCAATTTGCTGTTTTAGTTAAGGGCTTTCGAAGGGGTGCTACATGTTAGCCTCCTCAATTTGATTCGAAATATGTTAGTTTCAATTTCATTTTTCACTTAAGGCATTTCTTATAGTAAAGAAACTCCGGGGTAAAATGTGTTAAATTACATTTATAATGCATTTGTAGAAATATAAGAATCCATAACAAGCGTCATGAAAAGCTACGTTTGCAATGGGTTTTGTAATGTAAAGATGGGAATATTTTGAACTATTATTATTTTGTAGTCTCGAAACCCTACTATCATACGAATATTTGCCCAATAAGTTGTACAAAATAGTACAAGGACATCTGCCTATAGTTTTATGTTTAACTTAATTTTAAAATTTTTCGTTCTAATGTTCTCACATGGGACCAGAATCCAATAATATTTATTACAATATCTTTCTAAGATAATATATTTAAAAATATGATTTTAAGCTTGGATGATAATGCATAAATTCTATAATTCGCAGTGCTTTTTTACTTATACGTTCATAGTTTTCGTTTATATGTCAATTATGGAGGAACAGAGTCTTTTCATTGTATTGAATTTTTTGAACGTTTTTACTTAATTAAATAATCTCTCTTATAAATTGAACTCCAAGCATTTTTTAAACTAAAAATGTCTTCGCGTAGAGTTACCCTTTTGCCCATCATCAACCTGATTTATTTACTCATTTTTCGCCCTTAGATGGAGCATGCGAGCGATACTGTGGACGGACCTGTTGCTGTCATGGCAGCCTTGCTGGCGAAGCCAAAGATAATGGGACAGAAGTGGAAGAAACAGAGATTACCACGAAACTGGCTAATCTCAGTCGAATTATTCCGCTTGATGCATTTTCAGACAGTGATGGGGTTTGTCCATGCGAAGAAATGATAAAGTTTCTCCGCCTGGCTAAAGGTGATGTGGAATTGGCAGCTTGCCTCTTTATGGAGGCTAAACCGACCTTATTGCAAGGATACAAATATGAAACTAACGATACTTGGGAAGGAAAAAGAGCATTTGATAGGTACATAAACAAATGCAACTATGAAGTAAAAGTATATAATAGCATTTTAAAGAACGATTTGGAAGCTGGCAATGCTGAATTTCCGGACTTGCTACTGTCCAAAGATAGGATATTACTAGATACCGAAGCCCTGTTTTCACTGGGCTCGAGAGAAGCTGATCATACATCGTCTGTTGATTGGAATCCTCTCAGTTTACCAAAGGAAAATTTGGAACTGAATCGAATGTGGCTTACAGAGCAGTCCTGCGGGTTGGTATGCTCAGAAGCACCATCCACAAAGATCCTCCCAATACTAAAGACACAACTGCAACAAGATCAAGAATGTCAGGAACACCAAAAGCCAAGTTCCAAGTCGATACCTGAGACCAGCAAAGGCATGGCTGTCTCCAAACACCTACTTGCTTCGGCCTCTGGGCAGACCAATCTGCCCCTCGTCAGCCTGCCTACTAAAGTGTATGCAGACCAATTTATCAACAACTTAACCAAATCAAGATTCAGTATGCTAAGCCAGCCCTGCCAGGTTTTGGAATTACCTGAGCTGGAGGTAGGCTCGCAAAAGGACAAGGATGAGCCGTTTAAAATATCTCTATACTGGTTCGCCCGTTACTCCAAGTTCTTCCCTATGAGCACACTCGCTATGGGTAAGTATCTCAATCCAATTTTGGTCTTTGGTAAGCCTTATAATCTTTACTTAGAAGGATCACTATAAATCCCTTAGTGATTTTTTATAGCAAAAACGACCATACTTATTTTTTCTTTGCTTCTAACTTAATCCCTATTCAGAGTAACAATAGGCCAGGCCTCTACTATATTGATTTAAATGGTATAAATAAGGACCTCAATATTTTACTATAGAATCATAAACAAATTAATTTTTTTTAGTTCTAATTTATTATTATTACTACCACAGATGATGTTCGTATGTCTGAATTAGCGCTTGCCTCCAAATTCTATCGCGACTGACAGGTTTTTCCAGGAGTCGTGCTCATACATAAACCTCACCATAAATACCATGAGTAAGTAGGTTTCGATGAATCTCCTGGTTAAGGCATTGTTGGGGAGACTTTCATTTGGTATGAAAATGCATAATGAATATATTCGAAATTCGATCTCACCAGAACACGACGGCTCATTCCTATTGTACTGTAGTCGTTTGGTCTTAATACGACGTTCGGGTAGACTCAGTTGACGAAACATCCTCCCTCGTTTCGGGTGAAAAACGGACTAGGATCCCGTTATCATATGATAGACATCATCAGAGCTGGATCTTATTTTTGTAAGAGCCTTACGTTAAAAATAGGTCAAGAAGACTGCCCAGATCTTGACTTAGTTTTAACTTAAGAATTTTAAAAGAATGAGTTTCAGCTCTGATGATGCCAATTCTATTATGGCTGAAAGCTCAGCCCATTTTCACCCGAAACGATAGACGATGTTTTATTGACTGCATCAATCTGAACGTCGTATTAAAACCAAAAGGCTGAAATAGAACCGGAATCAACCGTCGTCTTCTGGTAAGATAGACCCTCTTATCTCTTATTCATGCACTTTTATTAGATATGAAGGCTTCCCCAACAATGTTATCTCAGCATAAATTCTGAAGGTCTTTC